AAATGTAATTAATTAATTTAAAAAAAAATCTGATTTTTGTAATTTTAAACTTTTTGTAATTTTAAACTGTTGGGCCTGATTTTTAATTTTGGAATAGTAAACACGTAGCCATAAACTTTTCCCTAATTGAAACCATCTTTCTCGCAGCTTCAGCCTCCATTTCAATTCAGCCTCCTCCACCTCCCTCCGCCTCAGGTCTCGCAGGCCGCAGCTGCTTCACCACCTCCGCCCCTGAGTCTGTGAAGTTCCGCAGGACAGCAGATGTTCAATTTGAGCCCTGGCAAGCTGCTTCGCCTCCGTGACTGCCCGCGATTCTTGACCCGGAAGAAGAAAAATAGAGGTATTCCTGCTTCCTTTACTCCCGAGCTCAAATTAGACAATTGGGCAGACATTAAAGGCCCTGAAAATCCAAAAATCAATAATTCATCCCCAGTAAACTTCAAAATCGCAAACCCAGTAAATTAATAATCGGAAGTGAAGCGGGAGAATCTTTGGTATCAAATTCGTAGGGGGAGTCTTGAATGAGCTTCTGCAGGTCAATTGCTTTGAACTTTTTATTATTTTTGCTATTGGCATTGCTGTAGCAAGCGTGAAGGGGGATTTTAAGGCGTCCTTGGGAGAGTTGTGCGGATTTGAGAGGCTTCCGATTATGGATTTTGGAATCGGGAAATACATAGACGGGAATGGGGATGGAAAATAATGAACCCTTTCCTATTTTTATTTATTTTTCGAACCCCGTCCCTCTGCCGCAGCTAATCAGCTCTTTCCTATTTTTTTGTTATGTTGATTTTGTTCTAATGTTTGAATTTTTACTTTTTAACTTCTGAAATTTGCTTGCTCTTCAATTGCTCAAAGCATACAATTGATTTGACAATTGGCTACCTACGAGACTTCCTTCACCCCTGTGTCTGCCTGCCTCTAACTGTGAGTTTTTGCCTTCTTTGTCACGGTAATTTGTAATTTTGTGAAGTGTGAATTACATAAGTTCTGAACGGAGTATTGCCCTGTGAATTGCACTGTGAATTTTTATGTGAATTGCTTGTTGATTTTATGTGAATTGTTATAGAATTGCCCCTATGAATTGCATTCAGTCGTAATTGAATATATAATGTTTATATTCAGAAATGAAATGAAGAGAATTTTCAGAGAAAAACTAATGTGGACAACGTAAATGTTGATGGGGGATGTCAAAAAATGTGAAATTTGATTTCACTAAACTTCCAACTGATCCTGGTCTAAGGATACCCATTTTGGATTANAACTGATCCTGGTCTGAGGATACCCATTTTGGATTACAATGCTAACATCCGAGATCAAGTTCGAAGAGCATATATGTTAATGGGTCCTTGTCAGCCACATGATCATGACTTTCCAAAGCGACAATTTGGAGTAAAAGCTAGACGATTTAATTCTTTTTGGTTTAAAGAGTTCGGTTCTTGGTTGGAGTACAGTGTAGAAAAAGATGATGTTTATTTCTTGTATTGTTATCTTTTCAAAGCAAGTACTGGAAAACAAGGTGGTTGTGTGTCTTTGTTGTTAAAGGTTTTAAATATTGGAAAAATAAAAAAAGTTTCATACTCATATTGGAGAACATGATAGTGTACATAATCAAACTCGCATTATATGCGAAGTTCTGATGAATCAAGACCAACACATTCAATTAGTTTTCGACAAGTAAGAAGTGCATATCTTACTCATCTTAATGTATCTATTGATTGTGTTCGACTTTTATTGTGACAAGGACACTCATTTCAGAGTCATAATGAATCTAAGGATTCTCTTACTCCAGGCAATTTCTTAGTTCTATTAGAATTATTGGCTGCTCATAATGAAGATGTTAATGTTGAGACATTGGAAAACGTTCCTCAAAATTGCAAATTGACATCACCTGATGTTCAAAAGCTCGATAATGAAGTTATTGTATAACAATATCAAAGTATGAAAACTCGCAAGGAACAATTGTAATTTATAAACTATGTCATTTTTAGTATTGTCGTAATATTGTTTTATATTTTTATCATCATTAAATCCATAACCAAAAACTCGACGTTCAACATCGATAAATTGTGCATACACTGAGTTATTTTCCTGGCTCCGCCCCTGCGTGTATGTATGTCTCACAAGGTGCCAAAAGACCCAAGTATATATATAGCTTGTGTTTGGCACCCATTTTTGGGTGTATTATAAATTTTGAAATAGTGATTGATGAAAGAATGTGTGGTTGAAAAGTAATGGAAAGTTTTAGATTTGTGTGTAATTTTATTTTATTTGGAAATGTATAGTTATAATTAAGTAAGAGAAAATTTTTTAAAAAAATAATGGGTGCCAGTATCATATAGGTTAAATGGTGATTTGGGCCAAGTAAGACATAAATTAAAATGATAAAAAACAAATTATTTTCTTGCCGAGTCCCTTAATATTCCCCTATTTCTTATTCAATCCTCAAGTAAATGAATTCCTCCCAGCCTCTTTAACATTCACACTCGTCTCTGGTCTCTGTCTGTGCATGTGAAAGAGAGAATGAACAGAAGCTCAAGTCTATTACAGGTGTGGCAAAAGCCATCGTCATCTATACTGTTAAGGCGCTCAATTTTCTATAAAGGTACAATTCAATTTTTTTCACTTGTTTCCTTGATTTTTCCTTTTTTCTTATCCTTTTCGTTTTAATTAACATATTTCCCGCAACTATGTAGGTTTAATTTTTGTGCCCAAAAAGATTATGTACCCAACTTTCTGCTTCTGCAAGCAAATGCAGACCACTGTCTATGAAAATGTGCATGGAGGCTATATTACAACTGTAGTAACCAAACAAACAAGAGAAGTAAAGGTATTTTGTTCATTCTTTCAAGAACTTTCTAGGTCTTCTAGGAACATTAGATTTTTTATTTTGTGGGCTGCTTTAATTTTTTTAATAGCACCACTCTTGAGTTTCATAGATGTAGTTCTTGTAGTCGTACATTACTATTGATTTTCGCGCTGGATTTGTTAGTTTTTCATAAAATTGGATTGGCCTAATCTACCTTCCGAAGTTCATCTTCGGTTGTCATGGTAAATAAATGATTTTGATTATTAGTTCTGGTTTCCCGAGGTTTCTAGAGGTTAAAATTTTGTTGATATTAGTTATTTTTTGTTATTTGATATATGTTATCTAGATTATGCACGCAATATCCTTCCTCACTCTGTTTGGTACTATACATTTTACAGGTTACTGACTTAGATTAAGCTTCGATAAATAAGGCTTGTTAAATATGCTCAAAGATACTCAATAAAACTTGATGCCCCCTTAATGTAGGAGGTTCTCTCATTGTATAGAATCAAAATCACAATTAAATAGGGTATCAATCAATTACATTATTAACTAATGATAACCTATAATTTAAATATGGTAAAAATAATCTATCTATATATGGTACAATTATAATGGTAATGTAGATGTTAAGCTGTAATCTTCAATGATCTCTGTAATCTTATTTAACCTCATTAACATCCCCCTCAAATTGATACTGGTCGATAAAATGATCAATTTGTAATCACGAATTGGCGACAGTGACTGCTCACGAAGAAGAGACCCAAATTACTGAGTGATGACGAGAGACCCAAGAATAAATATTGCAGAAACAACCAAGAATCACTTCAAAACCATTCCAAGAACTCTCCGAAGCCACTCCAGATAGCTCACACCCTAAGAAGAATTTTCAAAAGAAATTCACGAAGTGTGCCGATCAATATAATGAGTTCTATCAATTGGGAGAACTCGGTCGAATACATAATTCGTGTTCCGATAAAAGCTCTAACGGCCAATGCACTGACCAAAAATTCAGCAATATATCGCTGGTCAAGATGCTGCAGTTGGAAGAAATTCCACCGAACATCCTACACCAAAAACTCAAAGATGATCCTCCTCAATGCCCCAAAGAGTCACATGTTCATAAAAAATTATGTCAACCGTGGACAACCACCAAAAAACCCACACCTAAGAGACTGAGTTATGATCAAAGAAAATTGAGAATTCGGGAAAAGTTTACCGTGCTCTGATACCATTGTCAACTTTTGACTGAATGATTTTTCCATTAGAATTTCTTACATTATATATGAATAATATCAATTTAAATATAATAGATGTAGTCAACCTAAATATGGTAAATACAATTATATACATAATTATGTTAAGTCATAATATTGGTCAATCTTCGTGATCTTCATCAATCTCCGCTATCTCTGTTTGCGATCTCTTTTGATCTCATTGATATCCCCCTTCAAATTAATGCTGGTAAAAGCATCTATTTGCAATCAGAGCCTGGTACTACGAGGAGGGTGGACCCTGCTTGGCAAAGGGACTGCTGGAGAAATCCTATTGTGGTTGACATATAAAGTAGCAAGTGGAAGTGTGGTTGATCGGCACGAGGTGGTTGCTTGTACAGTTTGGGTGATGAATGTGGGACAACGTCTGTGAGATAGGTTCGCAGAACAGAAGATTGGGCCAACTAATAGTGTGATTGGGTTGGGCCGATAATGGTCCCTTCTTTGAAGACGAAAATGGATTATCATGAAATTTCTTGTGCTCTTGGTTTTTTTTTTTATTGAAATCTTGTTTTGATTCAGGTTGTTAATATCTCCCTTACTTCTAATGGAAAAATCGTTAGTATTATGCAGGCATTAATTGTGATTCGTTACCTTTCTTCTAGGAAAAAGCAATAGCTCCAATCGAAGCTATCGGTGCATTTCAGAAACTTCCAATGGTGATGCCATC